TATCTCCAACCACCATCTAATCTCAATGTTGTGCTTTATTTTAATCCATTGATCTAGTCACTTATAATCAACTTAGAACCTAATACAAATTAGCGTTGGCTCAAATTACTATGCCAGATCAACATGACGAGTTGCAGTCGAATCCAAATACTATAGATAGCATTGATAATGAAAGAAAATATATATTGAGAATACAGCTTGAAAAGATAGTGTTGGAAGGTATATACGAAGAAATACTGAAATTCAAGACCGAATAAAGGATAAAGAGTCAATGTATTTGTGTAATGTTGATAGATTCTGAGCCAATATTACCTAAAGTCTCAAATCACTGATGACGGTTATTACGCTGATCTCAACTAGGTATTCTACATCTGCCAATATGACTTAGACCAACTGTCAATAACTAGCTGCCCTAACCACCTCAGGTGATGATTTATAACCTGATCGATCGATTTCCTTTTATTAACTAGTACCTCAACATTTCTCAATCGGTCATCTCACGATAAGCAAATAGTTCTTCGAAGTACCTATGACAAAAACTTGGGGTCTATATATGTGTTCTACTTCCAACAACCGTGTTTCATACCCAGGATTATGTAGAGAGACCTTAAAAACAAAACGTCTCACTTTATTGCTTGGATTTCTGTTGCTAACTGTACATGACAGACCGCAGGCGGTTTTCCTTTTAGCAATGTGATCACTATACCAGTTTGTCAAGACCATCTCCGACCTAGTTTCATTTTCAAGCATCTCAATATCATTTGTTACTTCAAAGCGTATTCGAACGACAGTTAACAACTGCGTCACACCTCTAACAGTACTTGAGATCACTTCGTTCACAATAAAAAATTATCCGTTGATCTAATTGTTATTCTCCTGTTGTCATTGATCGCTTCTTTTAAAAATATATTTGATTGATTATGTAAAAACTGGTTAGATTAGTGGATTCATACGTCTTGTAAATTTACTAGCGATAAAGGTTAATGTTTTACAATATATGCAATCATACTGTTTATCTTTGAATCTCACAAATATAGACAAAATTCTATGTTTATGATCTATGGAATAAAAATCTAGTACAATTAGGCACCAAAAATAGACTAGACTGCACAGTACAAGTTTGTGTGTAGGCTGGGATACGGCAAAATAGCCTAAACTGAAGTAAGTAGAATGTTAGGAGGCAACTCATCTAGGCTTTGATCTAAAGGTCTAATTAAAAAAGAGAATGGAACAATGTTAAGGGATGCTCTAACCGGTAGCCAAATATAGGCCCATACACCATTCGTTTTCTAGGGCCCTTGGAGCGCATGTACACTGTTCGTCAGGAATCAGGATTTTCAAAATTCCTAATCAAAGTTCTCTATATTCACCAACTCGTTTTCATCATCAGACGTTCGCTTTTCATTCCCTTACTTTCGTAAACAACGCCTCTTTAAAAGAAAATTAGTGAGTAGAACTTCATTAACAGAGGTTAAGAACGCATGGTCGCATATGGACACTTTGGGAGGGAGAGCGGACCTTCCCAAGCCTCGTGTGCACTAAGGCTACGATTAGGATTTACATATAGAAGCTGTGGTTAAGAATTCATGTTAAGATTTTCATCACGAACTTACGTCATCTATAATGTCGAAATTTCATTTAACCATATGGATGAGTGAATTTCGCGCAAAAATCCAGGACTTACTATCTGTAAATTCATTAATTATTCCATAGTCTGCCAGATTTCGTTATGGATCAATTTGTAAATAGACTTAATAACATCACAATTTCATACTAATTTATGAAGGGGAAAATATTGACCATTTGTCCCTTCTAAACAAACTTTTAAGTCGAAAGGAAGATCGGGTTAAAAAAGACAACCAATTTACAGGAAGCTCACATGAACTGGTCAATATCTAACCTACAATTTTTGTTTACTGAAATACAGGTGAGGTTTGATAAGAAGCCTCCTGAAAATATTTCAAAGAATCTACATTACAAATACTATTGAAGATCTAAAACTGCTGACTTAAAAAAAATTGATATCGAACAGATATCTGTTGAAGTTCATATATCAGTTTAAAAGTGAATGAAAATTGGAACTCTTTATTAAGTTCTGTTTCAAGGAAAAACATTTACATAACTGTAAAAAACACATTAAAATTAGGTGATGTGATCAGGAAAACAAGAAGCCCTGACAAACTACGAAAGCTATTTTTGTCCCTAATCTATTCTACAGAACATAACCTTTCGTTCGATGTATGATTCATTGCCATACCCTTTTCTGTTCCGAAGCTATTGTAATTTAAACATAACATTTTGCACCCTATTTTCTACCCTAATTCCCAGCTTTGGACATAATTGTACATTGTGGCGGGTTAGTCACCTAATTATTCATTTACCTTTTTACACTAATCCGAAAATCAGGATATTGGGAATAGATCGAGTAATGTTCCAGTTATCTTGTCTTCTCTCATTCGCGTGCTTGTCAGCCAATCAGGTGATAGAATAGTTTTCTTCTCTCTACCCCACTTCGAACTCACGCGTACTAGCCTCAAGTTAGGTCGGTCAACCTATCGCGCCAAGGTCTTAATCTGGATTAGATAAGTATCCTCAGCACCAAAAGTGGATGGACAGCCCAAGGACATAACAATAGGGAATAAAAAATCATTTTCCACGTTAGTAACACACATAGTTGTAACAGATCATAAGATTGATTTTAAAACACCTTAAAAAATTGTTGTGTAGATACTGTTAAAGACACACAATTTTGGGGATTAGAAACTCTTTTGTGTAAATATAAACAATTTGTTTTAACCTTGAATCTGCCCAATGGGTTGCCATTGATTTTCATTAACAAGTATCTGTAACCAGATTGGTTAGAAATCGATTACAGATCAACTCCGTTTTCCCATTACATGAAGTAAATCTATATAAAGGGACTAGTTGTCTTATGTTGGGTTCTTTAAATAAGTTATTAATGAACCAGTTGTTAGCCAATTACTTTATCCAAATTTGAACTATTATTATGTGAAACGATCGCTTATCTTTTATCAAATTGTGCTATGAAATGTAAGTTTCCCCCTATAGAGAATATAAATAACGCAGGAGTTCAATGTGTTTTAAGCCATGACAATGGGATGTCTTTGAATACAATCGATATCCGTAAGTAACTACTATTCGATCACATAGTGGAATCAGGTGTAGGATACTAATTAGACATTAGAAACGTTCTATAAGGCTGTGAATCTTCGTAAACAGAAATAATTGACAGATGTGTCACACATACTCAGCCACTGTCTCCGTGACGAGGGATCGTGGTTCACGTCGGATCGTAAGAATCAGAAAAGCTCAACCCAAAATATAAGACCAAAACAAAAACTTACCTACTTACGCCTGTCTCTCTCAATGGAGCATGAGCCGCCGCATCAGAAGATATACACTTATTGGTTGGAATTAATGCAATAATCGCGATGTATGGTTAAAGACTCCTAGAATTGATTAGTGGCACGGACATAGGTAATCTTTATCTTACTCTTGTTACTATGCCGAGTTTAGTTTTTTTCTCTGAACAATAATTATTTCGATTTACGTGCCTTCGATCTAGTTAATCTTCTTCTTGAATATATAGATGAAAAAGTGTGACAACTTGAAATGATGGTGCACATTTAGGCCAAGTTTTACGTTGTGTATAATGTAAATACTGGCTAACTGATTCAAGACATACTTAAACGAGTCTTCTCATCTATACACCCAAACTACATTCCTGATAAATCTGTTACTGGAACGCTTTATTATTATAACCTCAAACTACTTCTACACATTAACTCAAACAACAGAGAAAAGGAGGAACATATAAGTAAGAGAATCCGTTTATTTACAGAAAATCGAGGGTGTATATTAATATGTACGTAAATGTGATCTAGAACTTTTCGGGGACATGCTAAATATAGTAACCGTATGGTTAATTATCCTATCAGATGATCCTTCATCTTCTTAGATATTTTGAGGAAGTTTCTGCCTGACGCCAATTGGAGGAAAAGATCTGACAATTTCTGGGTATGTAGAGAGTTTGGAATTTCCAAAAAGTTCAACTCCTAGATATATTAGATATGAAACATTTATTGAGCTTCATTCTCTAAAATCTAAAGGTTCCATAACTGTCCTGAGACCTTTATCTATTGGGTAAATGCAATACCATTTCAATAATTTCCTTTCGTACTACAGCCCTAAAATGCCCTGGTATGACTGAGAGTCAGCTCTCTAGCTCTCCGAATGATCTCACATGCCCACGTGAATACAACGACTGACAGGGTAGTCCTACTCACTGCCTTCTCTCACCACGGGTGTTGTTTACGAATTTGAGAGAACGAAAAGCGAATGTTCGGCGCTTTAACCGGGTCGTTGGACACAGAGAGTCAACCTAGGAGAGTTGGGAAACCCTGATTCCAAACCAATGGTGCACATGGTCTCCAGGATTCTAAGGAAACAAATAGTGTATGAACCAATGGCTGGTCACTGGCTACCATGGGACTGCATCATCTGACGTTGCTCCACTGCTTTGTGGTTCAGAATTTTGTTCGAAGGCTCTGGGTGTGGCCCCCTAAGAGAACCACCCGCTTCAGTTTGGGCACCCGGGAAGTATTCCAACCCTCACACAAATTGAATGATGTATGTGGCGCATATCTATTTGGTGACTCCTTGTACCATTGTTTAAACGTTTAAATAAATAAATTTCGCACAACAAAACGAATCTAGTTATTCATTTAATACATGTAATATATGAGATCTCATTCAAAATGTATCCAGCCTCATCAGATGGTTTAATTATTAGTTTTTGTATCATAAAACCTTGATTATCTGATACAGACTAAGAGTTCTTGGTACCTTGTTTGTTCTTAGCTTTAAGCGATCTTTACTACATCTTCGACTATAACTAAATGATAATCATTCTCTACTTAACACTTAGATCAGATCAAATACAATCAGCCATTAAATTGTAATTCAATGTAAATGATGTTAGTAATCTATAATCATTATTATTGTTAAGAAAGAACACATGTATTCGCTTCGAAAATAAGCATACAGAGAGACTATACAAGAAGAAATCCATATAGAAATATGAGAAAACACACACATAATACAAAAAGGAAATATGCCTAATATAGTAGACAACAATTATTATCACCGGCTATTAGAAATTTCAATGAATACACATGTATACACACTTTAAAAGGTCATAGCAACATGTAGTACATTTAAATGAAAAGAAACTACACAAGATAATATTAAATGTAATAGAGTAAAGTGGATGAATTCACTTTGTAGAACTAACTACATAGTGAACATTAAACGAAAAGAAAAATGCAATAATGACAACATTTAAAGTGACAAAAAATACATCAATAAAGAACCAACCAACCAAGCAACCAACCACCCACCCACCTACCTACCTCATCTTAACAATCACAATTCACGATGGTGATTGTAAAGAAGACAAAGAAAATAACTGAGGAAAAATAATCGAGGAACTATTATACAATAACAAATGATAAGACTTTCTTTTTTTTTAATGAATCAAATCTAGATAACACAAGAGATAGTATAGATGATAAACAAACATAACCAATGTTTTAGTGCTTATTCTATAAATATGAAAATTCAAAGTCCCAATTTCATTCATACTATACTTTACATGAGATTATAACAAGTTATAATGTAACTAGGAAAAGAAAGTTAATAACACTACTACTACTACTCAGTTGTTTAGATGGAATTAAGTAGTGTGAAGGTGTGACTTGGTGAATAAAAGTTGAATGTATTAAAAATAACCAGTGAGCCACCACTGTTCCACGATTCAAAAGAGGGAGAGAGAGAGGAAATCCAAGAAGTTTTACTAGTGAATTATGTACATGAAGAGAAAAAGTTTGTATGTTCTTTTTTCTTCTTCTTCTTCAAAGTTAGTGACAATCTTTATTAGTTCTCTTAAGAAATCCCACTACATTCATATACCATGATATAATGTAGAGAGAAAAGTGAAGTAAATGAAACCTGGAAAAGAGACAAACCACAAGCAAGTAAAAGGTTGAGTAAAATTTTCTTTTCTTTTTTTAAAACAAAAAAAAACATACAAAGACACATACATGTGAGATCATACTGGACCTTGACGACGATGATGATTATTATTTAATTATACAATTTGTATTTGATGACCATTCGACGTTGAATCGATCAATTCAAATGCATTATTATTATTATTATTATTATTATTATTATTATTATTATTATTATTATTATTATTATTGATGATGATAGTTGGATCAGAGGTAATTGTCTGATGTAATGCAAGTTCCATTTCCTTCTTTGTTTCTTCACCTTCGATATTTTGTTGTTTTTCTTTGTGGTTTGTCATCAAATCGAATTGACGTCTTTGAAATAAGTGAAACAAAGAGAAAGGAATGTGTGTATTGTATGAGAAGAGAACAATTAAATTATACATTAAAGTGATAATGATAATGATGATCACGATATTGTCTCAACAGATCAAAATGAAAATATTATAACAACAGAATAAAATGAACCGTTTGAGAAGTTACACTAATTAATTGTCATCGCTCTTGTATAGTTTGGATCAAGTTTCATCGTATATTATTAGTTTAGGTGGTTTCTTTCATGATGTGCATCGTAGTTTTGTTCTAAGTAATAAATCAAGGCGATTAACATGAAGTCCTCTTTGACCTAAGCTTTATAGTAAATGGGATATTTTAGTAAGATGCAACTGTGATCTTCAACGTGAATTAAGCTGTCTATGATATTGAAGTCTATATTAATGTCACAATTAGAGATGTTAACACGAAGATAATTAAATTGTGATTGATAGGGAAATGTGGATTGTTTGTTAAACGATATTATAACTTTCCGCACACTAATTCATAACCCTCCTTAGACCCTAAGTGGGGTAGTTCAACATACTTAACGTCACTTTACCGCCGTTCAAAAAATCGTCCATAAATTATAGTATCACCGTTAAGATATCTTAATATTTATTAAAATTGTGTTACTCGTCCTTCATTTATATATTTTGCAAAAAGTTTGATACAACTAGTTACAAAAACAAATATAAATTATCAGTATGGGGGTTTGTGGAGATTTTAGTATTTTCACAGTTGAATTCATGAGTCGACCTAAGCTAGACAATCCTTAAAAACTTGGAGACACTGGACTGCTGTTTCGTCCCAGTACATGGACTCCTCAGCAGTGCGCATCCACGATTCGAACGCAAGACCATAAGTCTCGCGTGCGGACTTTAACTTCAATCGATCCATGATCTTGAGCAAGATCACGACGTTTGATTGATTTGAATTGAGTAAAAGACAATAGATCCGCTCTCTCTACCTTCGTCTTCCAATTGGCTACTGTGGTTAGACAGTGCTTGAAGACAAATAACCGTTAAGATCATGGCTGTTGTACATTGATCGATGCGTCAATTAGCAAATAAAAGATTGCCGTTCCCACTAACAATATAGGTGAACTAATCGATAATCGAACTAGGAAGAGAGAGGGAAATCATACAACTGCTTTCTTGTCATTACGGCCTAATATCTACCCAAACAAGCAATCTACATAGATAAAAACACAACAACAATGCTTACTTAGCTAACCACCAAGTAATTGTGGATCCAATCAAACTAATTATTTTTAATACACATACAGTACCAAGCCAAATAAATGGTAAACCTTCTAAATTATACTCTAAACATCCACCAGCTGTTGTAGAATACTTTTGATCTAAAGACATTGTAGTAGCAGTGGTTGTAGAAGAAGACGAGTAGATTGATGACAGTGGAGATGATGATGGTGGTGGAAAAGACGAAGACGATGAGAATATGGATGAATTTGATAATGATGATAATACATTTGTATTCATTAATAACGATTCATTATTATTTATTGGACTGGATGAATAGTGATCTATAGGATTTGAACGATATTGACAAGCTAAATCGAATAGTTGGCCGAAATACATCGGTGCCGGAATATATGCTAATCAGAGAAAAAAAATGAACAAAGAACATTGATTCACTGATTAAAAGATGAACATTTCTATCCAACTGTCATTGAAAAAAAAGAGAGAATAAGAATATTTTCTAGTAACCATTACTATAATACAATCGAGATCGAGATTAGGTTACCATTAGACTAGATACTCGATAGATACAATATACAGAGACTGGATAACGTTGTACTAGATACACTGTTCACGAACAAATATAAAGAAGACCAGAGAACACAACTAGGCAATAGTTTAATCAGTACAATTATAATCAGTTTACACTCAATGAGTCCCGAGTAGAAATTAAAGAAAGCATGAAAATCAAACGGTTAATAGTAAGTACATTGAGTGTTTGCTTGTTCAAATTCAGTAGAAAATTACATCGTAATTTTGTTATCCATATATTAGTTATTTGTAAAGATTTAGTATTTTACCAATTTTTGAAATGTTCAGGATTTCAACTAATCAATCCCTTATGATGTTCGTGTATTTCGAACGTAGACTGATTCAATATTGTCATTAAATTGTATATCATTGATTCCACCACTAACCACTGTCCAATTTTACTGAGATTTGTGACTAAAAGGAAATATAGAATTAAATTTATATCGATTGTACAAGCTAGCAGTTATTTGGACTCAACAGCTCAGTGAATAATGTGTTAGCCATTTGAAATGAAAGGTGCTATGTTCCATTGTGAACAATGGGACGAAGGTAGTATATCCGGCTAATGAGTCCTGAATAGGACGAAACGCTCGTCTCGGATTCTACTGATAGCCAACTTTACTTAAACGTGTATCAACTGCTTTTTAGATTTAGAGTAGCATAAAACAATTTGAAAATAATGTTTCGATTTATTAACTGATGTATGTTAGAAGTGGATATAGGTGAGTTCAGAACAAATTCTGCACGTGGTTTGGGTGTTCTGAATAATGTTAGTATGTCAATCAGTGAGTTGAAACAACTACTTCAGTTCAGAGCAGATCAATTTAGTAACAGCCAGAACATATTGGAATTATTCCAAACAACTGACACAGTTACCAATGTCAGTGATACATTTTGAGCAAAAAATTAAGAACAAATGGAAGGTGAAGAGATGTTGCATAAAGTTTCAACGGACCAGCCCCAATTATTAACCCAAAAAGATGAAGTATTCAAATTTGACTTTTCTACCTATACAGCAAAGTTGCGTTTGAAAACAAACACCACCTAGACTTTACATTCAGTCGTAAAAGTAACAGACTACACCATTTTATTATTTATTTTAACGCATAGATATTGATACAAAGAGGCAACAAATACAAATGCGCCACACAATTCCCATTCGATATGTGTGAGGGATATGGTACTGCCCGGGTGCCCAAACCGAAGCAGGTGGTTTCCTTAGGGGGCCACTCTCTGAGCCTTCGACCCAAAGGTCTGATCCACAAAGCAGAGGAGCACCGTAAGGAGATGCAGTCCCATGGTAGCTGGTGACCAACAACTGGTTCATACACCATTGTTGCCGTAGGATACTGGAGCCTATGTGCACCATTGATTTGGAATCCGGTTAAAGCGCCGGACATTCGCTTTTCGTCCTCTCATTTTTGTAAACAACACCCCCTCCACGAGAAGGCAGTGAGTAGGACTTCCCTGGCAGAGGCTATGCACCATATTACTTAGTCTAATGTTTATCACTATAAAAACAAACTTAATAAATTGTAAGAAAATGAAGAAAGAAGACAACATCCATGACAGATCGTCTGTTAGTATCTCTTATACACATCGACCAACAATAAAAGTTAGAAGTTGGAGTGGATATTTGAAGTCACAGCATATCATGACTAAATCAACTACCTATTTGAATAAAACAAACAAAGAAAAACCGAATTATAAAACAATATTGTTCGACAATTTTTTCTTACCTAATGTTCTGACAAAGAATATTTGTAATCCAAGTGCAACAGAACTATCTTCTGATGAGACACAACTGTAAAGATAATTTACAAATCATATCTTTATTAGTTCATTTTTATAAAATATGAATGAACAATGGTATTCATTTGAAAAAAGAAAGGACAATTTCAAAAGAACTAATCTTAGCCATGTTGGATAAGTACAAATGATGTTGATTTGAGGTAATTGTGATAATTACAATTAGTGGTTAAAGACATTGAATGATATGGCACAGATGTATTCACTGTTTATCTTAATGAAGATTTTCAGCTCCAGTATTCCCCTTTACATATTTTCTTTTTATTTAGTCTTTTCGGACGATGTTTGATATGATTAATCTTTCTCATCATTATTACTACTTGATGATACAGATTATATTAGTGTTCATCTTTATCTCATCATGATATCAAGGTAGTGTACGAAAAGAGATCCTATACAAGTTAGAACTTCTGCTGAGCTGAGTTATATATGATTGAATGTTTAAAACATATTTCTTAATCAGAAAGGGATTTTGTGGATATTATAGTAATTTTGGTAGTTGAATTCATGAGTCAATTGAAGCCAGACCACCATGGAAAATCTGTGCTTCCAGGTTTTCCATGGTAGTATGGCTTCAATTGACTCATGAATTCAACTGTTATTATTTCTCAATTCTTAGACAACTTGAAAGTAGGTCAGTGATAGAAATGCAGTTGGCATACAAACGAGGCAAATTTATTGCCGTTTACCTAGGAACATTACCTTTTATGATTGAGGACAAGTAAAACACAGAAACAAGTTCTATCTATGAATAATTACTGATGCGAGCCGACAGATTGATATAAATGTAACACATAAAGATATATACAGTGAATCCCATATAATTTGACTTATATATTTGCTCTTGTGTGCAGTGGAAGCTATAACAATTCATTAATTCTTCGTATAAAAAGAAACATTTACACAGTTTATTTCTCTTCTCAGGATATATCTAATTTCTCTGAGCTGGGGAACAAAAGACCAAAATCATTTACCTGAGCTACAAATCTTCTCCACCATTGGCATTAACTCTTGATATTCAAATGTCAAATAAGAAATAAGCGTTCATCAATTAATTAAGAAAAGAACATCATTTCGTTCCAAATTGTCTGAGTGTTAGGTTCGTTTGGGACTTCCTCTTTATTAATTATGCTACTGATTAATAATCAGTAATCAATTACAATGCTAATAACTTTTGAACATTTCGAGAGAGAGAGAGAGAGAGAGAGAGAGCGGAATCTCCCCACTCTCGGCCGTACCAGGCCATTTGGTATTATATTGCGTGCAATACAAATGAATATTTTAACCTGGTAATTTACTTGTCAGGAGATCAATAACAAATCATGGAAGAATACTTCTGATAAGCTTCAAAACAATCTAAACACGAAACAGTAGTTTAATGTTATTTAAGCTAAAATTCTTCAAACAAATATCGGTTACTCGATGTGTACTTGTACTTCAATCACATTTTGAGTGTAAGAGGCCAACACTAGTAATGATCAAAACATTTAGGCATCCGCTTTACATATCATCAAGGCTTAGATGAAATCTTTCAAGAACAGTAATCACAAAACAAAGTAATATTGAAGTAAAAGTGTTAATTCATTTATAAGAAATTCTAACAGAAAACAATATTCAGTAGTCATCATCATTAATCCACTCACCTCAATGTGATTACATTACTTGGATTTTGTAACATACCAGTACAAAGAATATGTAAGAATAACATAGCTAGAAATAAACCATACAAAGTACACTTAGGTTTACATCGACCAGGATAAACTTCACCAGAATTATTTGCTAATAAGAATTCATTATTTATTCTCATTGACGATGATAATGACATCGGTATTGATGAGATCGAACCAGATGGATTAAGTGTAGATGGGGTTACACATTGACAATCAGAATATTTCTAATTGAAAAAAGAGAATATTTCTTGTGTTTTAAAAATGAAACTGAATGAAAGTTATACACTGAGAAAGAGATTTACAATGATTAACATTGTACAAGTCAATATATTTTCATAAGAACAGATTAGAAGAAAGTTAGATGTTGCCAAACCAAGGACTGGTCTGCGTCAACACCTGAACTAAGGATAGGGAGTGAAGTAGTCGAACGCGTTGACAACTTCACTTATCTTGGAAGTCTGACCAGCCCTAATGTGTTGGTGTCTGACGAAATCTCAGCACGGATTCGAAAAGCGCGCTTGGCTTTTGCCAACTTACGTCACCTTTGGCGAAGGCGAGATATCCGTCTATCAATAAAAAGACGAGTATACTGTACGGCAGTTCGTTCTGTTTTAATTTACGGCAACGAAACATGGCCAATAAGAGTAGAAGACACTCGTAAGCTACCAGTATTTGAGCACAGATGTCTCAGAAATATTGCTGGCGTCTGCTGGGATCACCGGGTAAGTAATAGTGAGGTTAGACGCAGGGTATTCGGGAATGATGGTAAATCAGTTGATGAGGTTACGAATCTTCACCGACTGAGATGGTTGGGCCAAGTGTTACGTATGCCCGAACACCGATTACCACGACGTGCAATACTAACCGGTATTGGAGATGGTTGGAAGAAAGTTTGGGGCGGTCAAACAAAAACGTGGCATCAGTGCTTGAAGTCACTAACTTCTAGTCTGAGCCATGTTGGTAGATGCAGACTACTTGGTTGGGGTCCGCGTCACTATCGTAACCAATGGTTGGAGACTCTTGGTGACATGGCTCAGAATCGATCACAATGGCGTCAGTGTATACACTCTTTATCTTCCGTTAAACTGTGAGATTAAAATCACTTCATATCTTTCATTCTATGAACTAATTCTTTCTTCCTGTACTATATCCTTATTGCAATCTTTCTTTTATATATTACCACCTCTCAATTAACTACTTTTATGAATCCGGTGTCCATCTTGTTGTGTTAATGAGGTATGGTAACTTGGACCGATGCATATATGTGTCTGGTCCTACGTTGTAGCTGACTGACTGCCAAACCAAGACAAAGTATCAGTCCATGTTGTAAGTAGCTACTGAAATGGTTCGTGTTGATAAACGCAGATTACTTGATCAGAGTCAGCGAGATGATCTCTAATCTATAGTTGAAGTTGCTAGGTAACACTGGCTCAGAATAAAAACCACAATGTTGTGTAGAGCAATTCACTTAGATCATGAGTTTTAAAATGATCATATACCTTTAATTCTGCGAATTTATCCTTTCTTCTCTGATCATAATATGCATAAAAACTTTTCCACTACTAGTGATACTGTTACTGATTCTATTACTCTGAAATTTGACTTGATATTTTAATCATACTGTAGTATGATAACTTGAACAAATGAATATGTATGTGGAGTTCTACATTGTTTATGGTTGACTGATGTAGTGTACAAGACAATGTGTATATTGACTTAATGTTACATAAATCAAGAAACAGAATTTCTCAAATCATGTATCCTAAACCAATTACAATTAGGAAGTATTCATTATTGAATAATAGATTTACGGTATTAATTAAGGAATGAAGGAAGCTACGCACAGTTAAATAGGTAAATAAACAGACAACTAATAAACAACATTAAAACAATTAGTAATTACTGTTATACATAATGATTATTTCGATCAATCAAAATAAATGATCTAACCGATTGGAATTATACAATATAGACGATACGCTTCATGCTTCACATAATGAGAATTATAAATAATTCTAAAATGGTTCTATCTGAATGACTCTAAAATCGTTAATATGCTAGTATAGTGGACGCTACTTACAAGATTGTTTTTAAGTAGTGTGTAGAGGAATATGGCGTTGAAGTTACAGCAATTGTCAGACAGAGTGAAGAGTTTCAGAACATTGAAAACACGGAGTTGGAGATCAGACGAGAATACGAGTCAGACTGCAGAACACACCGAAAGGTTTAAATGGAAGACTGAAGGCTATGTATTTGTATTATGTAAATAGTTCGTAACTTCTCACAATAAATATACATTACTCCGGCCTACTGTGCTTTACACTAACTGGAAAACATACAAGTTTAATGTAGAGCAAACAGAGCAGAGAATTTATGCAGTTGATACGAATTATTAATGGTTAGTCCTTGTCCCAAATTTCAGGCAGATAAGCAGTATATATTAGTGTAGTGATATTGAAGTTCAAACTGGGACTTGAAACCATTGTTTATCGCTTTAGGTAAATCTAGTCGATGAATTCTTAGTAGGATGAAACATTTCCCAGATTATATTACTAGTTATCATTCAAAAACATTGTCAAACTCATAAATACATCTAATATCTAAACATCCGCTTAATGAGTGCAAAAATCAACAAAAACTAGTCAAAATCTAGTCCAGTACATTAACAGCAGGAAAATACAAACACTTTTATCAATCATAAAATGCTGTGGAATATCGAAATAAGAAAGACTGGTAAAGTGAAGAGTTCTCTTTACGGTGAATTTATTCAATCTTAGTATTGTCCCAAACCTATGTCGTTCGACTGGTATGAGCAGCCGAGCGTCCTTATTGTTCTTTTGTTCACCTAGCCCGTCTAGTTGAGTCCAGAACACCAATAACAGCTTCCACTGTGCGAATCATTTATTTCAAACATACTTGGTTTATATACCAGACAAACAGACCGCATCACACCATAAAATAGGAAATAACATTTATACAAGATCAAGCCAAAAAGTGGCCAACTGAAACAAACTTCTAGTAAAGTTGGTTGGTGGTCAGCAGTGAAATTCACGACTGGTGTTTCGTTTTATTTGAGACTCATCAGCTGGACATAAGTGGGTTCTCATGTTGCTGCTCATAATGGTTTTTCAATTCATTACTCTAACATCAAATGCTCGAAGTGTTATTCACTGAGCTACAAAGTCTAGATAGCCATTAACTTGTCCAACGAATAGAAATTTAATTTGTAAAGTTTTGTATATTGTTTCTGAATCGTAATGAGAGCTACTACTGTCTAAAATTACTTTTTACTTAATGGCAATATCGAGTTTGTTTGCCATCAGGATGCATAAATTTCAAAAGAGATTAATCAATTGAAGTTTTTAATGTCAACAAATGGAAGATACAATTTATTTTCAAATTGGAACCGACTTCATTTAACCATTCAATCATTACATAAATAAAATATAAATTACTTCAATTTCTATCTACTGACATCAAGACTGTGGAATATCAAGAACTAAAACAAAACGATTGTGAAATATAAATTATTTAACATATGGAGAAATGATCCATTTAGATCCATAAAAATTATACAACATGGAAGACCAATACATAGAAAGAATACATAAAAAACACAACACATACCTTTACAACTCCAGCTTCTAAAACACGTGTTCTGCATCCAGCAAAACAAGGATTGAAAAATGTCAATGATTTCCTATCACAGTCATTAATATTATCATTTGGACTACCAAGATTATTATCACCATTAATAATACCACTACTAGTACAAGTTATTTGATTATTTGTCTTCTTTTTGATACTACTATCACTACTACTAGTAGTAGTAGTGGAAGAAGAAGAAGAAGAGGTAGCGGTCCAACACACTGGATTATAATGATTTACTGAACATTGTGATTCAATGTAATGTGTATAATGACGATTATCAAATTTTTTTATTCGATTATTAGATGAATAACAAAATTGATTACATGGTGCTGTTAAATTTGATGGTATTAAAAAACCTGGACCATTTTTCCAAGGCCAACTAAACAATAACAAGAATAAAATTATAAAATAATATTATACACTTTAGATATATGTAAAAATTATTCAATTAATAGTTTACACCACGAACTTACTTTAATTAGATAATTGTTGTCCGGTTTAGGTGATGAATTGAATTATGGACATTGTTGTATTCAGTCAGTCAGTCAGCTACAACGTAGGACCAGGCACATATATGCATCGGTCCAAGTTGCCGTACCTCATTAACACAACAAGATGGACACCGGATTCATAAAAGCAGCTAATTCAGAGGTGGTAATATATAAAAAAAAGACTGCAATAAGGATATAGTACAGGAAGAAAGAATTAGTTTGTAGAAAGAAAGGTATGAAGTGATTTTAATCTCTTAGTTTAAGGGAAGATAGAGAGTGTATACACCGATGCCATTGTGACCGATTCAGAGCCATGTCACCAAGAGTCTCCAACCATTGGTTACGATAGTGACGCGGACCCCAACCAAGTAGTCTGCATCTAGCAACATGGCTCAGACTAGAAGTTAGTGACTTCAAGCACTGATGCCACGTTTTTGTTTGGCCGCCCCTAACTTTCTTCCAACCATCTCCAGCACCGGTTAGCATTGCACGTCGTGGTAATCGGTGTTCAGGCATACGTAACACGTGGCCCAACCATCTCAGTTCCACAATGAAAATCATGCTCAAAGGGAGCATAAACATATGTTTGTATAAATCCCAGTATTGAATAGAGATATATTATCGTTGTAACTAATAATAACATCATGTGTAAATTCATACTGTTGGCTATGAGCCACATTGTGTATGACGGCCACTGGCAATAGCTGATTGCTAAACTAGACGAAATGGGACTCGAATCAGCGACTGATCACAAGTTGAATAGGTCACACTGTAGTGAACAAGAACACCGGTGGGGACAATTGAATGTGTTTGAGCACAAAATTACAGAACATCTCAATAAAATCCGAGAACCATATAGTAAATCGTTAATTTGCAAAATGCCAATCCATCATATCAAACTTGACTGTTCAATCTATTGTATCAGATTTCATTGTTCATGCGTTTTCATACCAATTGCGTTCCGATCCCGTCCTTTCCACATCGATCTTCTATACCTGACTACCGTAACATACTACTTGTGTGGATATAAGTAGCCCACACCACAACACTAATAACTAACCGTTCCAAAATAATAACCAAAAGAAAACCTATCCATTAACACTTCAATCAAATATATGAATTAACTATTCAGAGAAAAGATTAAACTTTAAACTAATAAAACAGTAGGATATAATTTAATCTTCCGTTAAAACAAGAGGGTTAGTAAATTAAAATGAAAGATATCATTTTGAACAAGCTATTAGAAGCTATATCTATTAGAAGAAATGTCATTTTAAGGTCAGTCAATGTGATATAGAGCTGTTACATGGAGAAATATCGTTTTTGTATATATATATGTGTATATATATGCGGTTAAATTCCATTCCATCTGATTAAACTTCATCAAATAAAAACAAGCGTTAATCTCTATAGGATATAATATCCAATGTTCAACATGTCAAATTGACCTCCTTCTTATTTTAATGTAGAAAAGAGAATGAAAAACACGAAGAAATTAATTTTTTTCTTTTTCTTAGATAATTAAGATCTACAGAGCAGAATTAATACTTATAAACGAGAAAAAAAAGGGAGGAAGAAATGGTTACAATTTATTGAGTGAATTTCCAACACAGGGAATACAATCAAGGATCTCCAATCTCACTTGTATGTAAATCTAATGGTGAGCACATATCAAAATTCGATCGATTCATCACGCCGTAAAGTGAATTATGGTTACCAATGATAGTCTAGCTAAGATCAGTTCATGATGTGAACTATGAAAATTCAACAGTCTGCAGTGAACCCTTGTACTAAAAGGATTTTTGTAAAAAGTTAAAAATAACACAGCACAATGTAAATATGATTTTTTTTCTACTTCTGGAAGCATAAAATGTCTGCCAAGAAAAATACATAAATGTTGAGTAACTGTGATATAAAATAAGATTATTATTTAGACTACTTAATTCTAATTATAAACCAGTGTGAAGAAATGTTAAAACTTTGAAAGCTATACATACATACTAACACCTCAGGCAGAATAAAGGCGTACAACCACCTCTCTCCACTGTTTCATTCAATCAGTGGGGTTAGGCAGGGTTGTTCAATGTCACCATTTCATATCGCGCATTATTTGGTGACGCAGGGACTAGTTGGAAAAAGCACAGAGGTGATCAGCGTATGGCATAGTGTCATAGTATGAAAGAACTATACACAGGAATGGCATCTGTAGGTCCTTAACGATTCCCTAGTTAAAATCCAAAAGGTAGTGCAACAGATGGGTTTGAGACACTAACAGACATAACTCAGAATATAGAAGCCAGTGGAGATCCTGCTATAACTTTGTTTTACTTTCGTTATGTAAATGAAAGGATCTTTTTAACCGAAAGAATCCTTTCTTAACTGAACTGCTTCTCCCATTATTATTATTTCGCTCCCATACACTTATTTTCATTTAATTTATTGTCTCTTTTTTATTTTACTCACCTACCTTTATCTTTTCAAAATCTCATTTTTATTGTGTGGCGAGTATATGTTTTGACTTATTTTAGTACCAATGTTTATGTGTTTAAATAAATAATTGTGTGCAACCTGAATATATATTAACCAAATCTGTGCTAAGATCCTATAAACTCTTCATCCTGACTTCTAACTATTGAGAAGACAAAAGAATTCAAGAGTTTTATTAACAATCCAACAAAATGAAATACAGAGAAAACGCATAGTTATTTATGAAATTTCTAGGGTGTCGATTAAAGATTCTACCTTCATAGAGCCAAATTCTGACTAATTAAGATTGAATTTTTTCTCCAAATCTCTATCACCAACTGAATTCAATCAGTCAAAAATAACGTCGGAACTTGGCTCAAGTTTATATTAGTCCAATTCAACACTACATCAGCATAGCAAAATGAAATTAAGGTCAATATCATAGAATTGGTAAATTATTAGTGATAATATGAAGATGATTTGAGTAGAAAAGGCTATATTTCATAAGAATAAATGAAAATAGAGCAGATTGCTGAATAGTATATTCAAGAACGAGTGTACCAAAAAATACAGCTCGAAAGGTAAAGTTGATCACAACCACACCAAGGTAGAAGTTACATTATGATGTCAAAGGAATCAATAATAAATGATTGCAGTTTATGAATAAATAAAGATTTTTACAAAAGGGTTCATTGATATGAATAGACTGACAACAAACATAAATCAATGATACATAGTGTTTTATTTCAGCTGACCTAAAAAATTCAACACATCACGTATCATACTACGCACACACCCGTACAAATATCATGTCATTTATGTTGTCTCATAGTGATCGGTCAGCAGATTTTTATTTCTAATGAATTATTCTAGTATTTCACTATCCCATACAATGTATGTGTAAATGACAGTTAAACCTTTAAATTCATTGAATTAATAAGAAATGATTGTTATGTCAAAAAAACGGAAATCAATTTCTACCAACTCAAAAACATTTGAATATAATTGTTAAAAAAAATTCATTTGTAACTATGTAAACAACTAGAAGTGTTCGCGCACGAGACCGAAGATTCTAGGTTCGAATCCTACGTGCGGGATCGTGGATGAGCACTGTTGATGGATCCCATATTGGGACAAAACGGCTGTCCAGTGCTTCCAGGTTTTCAACGAAGGTCTAACATTGATCGATTAATTAATTCAATGAAAACCCAACAGTCTCCACAACCCTATACTGATAATAAACTTTATTGTTAACACATTGAGGCAATTGATGCTATGATAACAATATTTGTGAAGTAATATAGCAGTTATGGAGTTGAAATACTAAAATTTTCTTAACAATTATAGTTACAGTCAACGTTTTCAGTGCTCAATAAGTGTGATGAAGAGTTAGCATTAAGGACTGAAACTAAATGACAACAAGTTATTAAATGATATGTTTATAGAAAAAAAGGAACATTTAACGATATAGAAATGGAAGAGAAGACAGAACTTTCATGGAATTTTATGGATACACAGATACATACATGGCACAAAAAGAAACAAATTTTGACTTACTTTTCTCCGTTATATGTAGCTGTTATACCTGCTACTCGACTAGATTGACAACCAATTGACATTAGACTAATACTCGTTATAACAGTCAATGAAATCATAATACATAAACCAGATAAGGTACGATGTAATGTAGGTCGAAAATGACGCATTAGTAAAGCACCAGACAGAACACCTAATAATGAACTTGGAACTATTACAGCACCTATAATTTAGAAGAAAACAAATAGATGGTGATAAATAGGGAAAACATTACAATAAGAAATGTCATTTAAGAAATAGAGAGAAAAAGAAAAAAAGATCAATATTGATTAACGATGGGAATTTGATTACACATGTATAAAGATGGTTGAAAATCATGACCCAACGTTATAATGATTTTGAATTTAAGAAGTGTAAAATATAACCCACATGACGTAATTAGTTTAGAATGAAGCTAGTAGACAATAGACACAAGGAAGTTGTTATCTTCATTACTCATATTTGAAATGGATAAAGTTACTTCTTTACTTACTTACATTGAAAAGTTTTTTTAATGGTTAGAGCTGAGAAATAATCTAATAGTAACCCAATATGCACATTATTCAAACGGAAAACTTCGGATTATAACCGTAAAAATTCTAAGACTGTAAAAGGAAATCGATAACAGATCACAACCTTATGACATTGTGATGGGTAGAATGAAGACATTGGTATCAGAAAATATCTTAAAAAAGTATCAGTAAATATTAATAATAGATTATAAATTAATTACTACTGTTGTTAATATTACAGTAAAATGTCACATGTAGAGAAAATTCTTAATGAGAACATCATCGATTGTCGAAATAAGATCAGTGTTTTCAGGTTTTCAATGATCAATAAGTGGTGCAAGATATAAAATTTAACAATTTCCACAAACACCTTACATTCGTAATGATTTTACAACTCATTTTGTTAATCTTATCTCGAGGTGCTATTGGAAACTTAAGCCAACGTACATCTTTTCCACAACATAATTATTTAGTTAAACATAAACATTGGTACAAGGAGGCACCAAATATATATATTCCACACATTGTCATTAGATTTGTGTGAGAGCTGGAATACTGTCCGGGTGCTCAAATCGAGGCAGGTGATTTTTCCAGGTCACTTCCGGAAACTTTGATCTGGAGGTCTAATACATAAGGCTGTGGAGCAACATTAGGAGATGAAGTCCCATGGCAACTAGTGACCAACAATAGGTTCATGTGCCAATTTTTCCCTAAAGGTCCTTGAGCCCATGTGCATCATTGGTTTGGAATTATGGTTTTCTAACTCCACTAGGTGGGTCATCCATATCCATCCACCAAACCGATTAAGGCGTCGAACATTCGTTTTTCGTCCTCTCAATTTCATAAACACCACCGCCACGAGAAGGCAGTGTATAAAACTTCCTTGTCAATGGATGTATACACGTGACCATGTAAGAGCATTTCGAGAGGAAGAGCTAACTCCTCCCACCCTGAGCCATAATAGAGCATTTGGAGGCCAATATGTTGATAACAACTTATTGATAACCCACTACTGTCAGTCTTATAATTCCATTTTCTATACATTTAATTATAATTAATTCATTTGACCATATGATATTATATTATTCAATGAAATAAGCTTACATCATTATAATTATCATTACTATTATGATCATTTTTAGACAATGATCATTGTGATGGCAATAACTCGTATTCATATATCATGTTTATTCACATGATATACGGCAGGGAAAAAAAGTAGTGATAAAAATAAATTTATATGAGTTTGTGCAGTAAAACAATTACATGTTTTTTGGATTTTATGTTTTTAGTAACCAAGAGAGTATGTACCTGTAAATCAAACAATATAGAAGTACAAGTCTATTCTAATACAATATCTACTGAATAATATGTTTATAGAATGTATAGAGACTACTACTACTACTACTGCTACTACTAGACACAAAATGACAAATACAAATAATTTGAATAGGCATTGAAGGATTGTTGAAATATGACGTTTTAATGAATATTTAGAAGAAAAATTTTTTCTAGATGTTTCGACCAAATCCATAGTATATTAATGTTGACACAAAATCTTTGGCAATGTAGACAAGGTAATTTAATCAAGAACCGCATAATGATAATAAAAATAATAATAGTAATGATAAGAATAAATTTTATTGGATACAATATCGAATAGGAAATAGACTTGTAGTAGTAGTAGTAGTACATAAAATAAAGTAGTCTATTATATGTGATGATGTATGAGGAGGTTATGTCTGTCTACATTCAATAGCTAACAATAATTTGACTGGAAATATAATTGTAAGTGTAAGTCATATAAATCAATGAACTTCTTGGGTTACGTTGTACCGGTAGAAATAAAAAAAAGTAAACACTATGATGTAAAAAAGATACTGGATATGAATAATAATAATGTGAATGTCAACACCAGGATGTGGCAGGTACATATTCAGTTGATGAATACCAAATAGGATGAAGCATGGACTTTTAGATACTATAGCTGAAAACCGTTCATCTATTCTCAGTCAGTCAGCTACAACGAAGAACCAGGCACATGTATGCATCTGTCCAAGTTGCCACACATCATTAGCACAGTAAGATAATCACTGAATTCATCGAAGTAGTTACTTCAATGGTAGTAATATATAAAAGAAAGATCGCATATAAGAATATTATATATATATATATATATATATATATATATATATATAAACGTTTGTTGTTTCAGTCGTGACGTGTAAGAAATTGTTTTCAAAGTTTGTTGAAAAATAATCCGTTAAGATTTTATTGTTCCTTTAAGGATTAATTTAGGTAAAAATGCCTGAGGTGAAAAAAAACGGATTAGCGATGTTTTCGGAAGTACAATTTACAGACAAATCTGGTGACCAATGTCATATTTGTCTAGTTTTTTTAGCGCTGATCGAATTCTATTGATCAATAACAGATTTTTTACTATTCACTGATCACTTTATTGTAAATATTTCAATCATATAAAAAAAGTTAAAAGCGAGCCCAACAGTTTAGTCTTAACATTCCAGATATTTAGGTTAGGTGATGCGAATTCGGATCCACCAATGAGCATTGGTTCCCTCAGCACCACAGATACATTGTTGACAAGTGACAAATATCAGAAAGCATACATACAGTCATTAATCTTATTTCAACCGATCCTGTAGAACTATAATCTACTGATGATTTTGAGAGACCATTACATAGAAAGCTTATTTTTAGTTACTAAGAATCCGATTGATATGTAATAACCAAGATCAAAGTTGACGAATACTTTTAAGATCCAAAAGGATGAATATTTTTATGATTTATTTGATTTAAAATATCAGGAACCATTAAAGTTATCCTTATAGATCCAGAAATTATAGTCCCTATTCTTATGCTTTCTCATATTTTCATACATGTTATCAACTATGTATCATATCGTTTACTGAGTTATAAAAATAATGCAAGCTATCTGTCATTGGCGTTACAGTTTCCAAGCTAAATTCCGAATGGTCTTAACTTACATCGGATTAATTCGTCCGGATAGTATACTTTTAACACTAACTTAATACATTATTGTTGAAAAAGCATGGAATTACTTTATCGGTTATCTGGAGACTCACTAAGTCAGTGAACAACTTGTCGGGGGGAACATAAAATGAAAAGTATTGGGTTTGAGTCTTAATGTGAACACCCAAAAGCTAGGATTTAGGTATAACCAACTAAAGACGAAATATACATTCCCTTAATTTTACAACTAGCTACAATCAATCTATATGAAAAGTGTATTGTTCTACTTTCAATTTTGATTAGATTGTGTTACTTCTAATGAATCACCTAAACATGAATTACCATCTTTATTATTATAATGTCACATTAATTCTGTTTAGATTACATCATATTTACGGATTAACTTCTGAATAATCTAATTTCTATAATGTTTTACCATTAAACTTAATTTATAACATTTTAATACAATGTAGGAGATTTATGTTGGTGATTAAATTTTCATTGTTTACACATCACGAACATCTCTATAACTTAGTTTAAACTATGGTTGTTCAGCTAAGTAAGTTTAATTGATGGTGTGAACTATGAACATAGAATTTCAATGTTTATAAAAAAATAAATGTTTACAAACAGTCACTGATTAGAAATTGATTTGATTTATATTAGTGAACAATAGAGCAAAAGCGCGAGTAAAAAAACAGTGTATATTAATAAGAAATTATTATTATTATTATAATTTAAACACATGGACATTGGTAGAAGAAGGCAACATGTAGATATGCACCACATAAATCATTCGATTTATGTGCGGGCTGTGATACTAGCCGGGTGCCCAGACCGAAACAGGTGGTTTTCTTAAGGGGCCACACCTCGAACCTTTGACCTAAAGGTCTGACCCACAAGGCAGTGGAGCATCGTGAGGAGATGCAGTCACATGGAAGCCGGTGACCAACAATTGGTTCATACGCCATTTGTTCACGCAGGATACTGGAGCCCATGTGCACCATTGGTTTGGAATCCGGTTAGAGCGCCGGACATTCGCTTTTCGTCCTCTCATTTTCGTAAACAACACCCTCGCTACGAGAAGGCAGTGAGTAGGACTTCTCTGGCAGAGGCTGTATACGCGTGGCTGTGTGAGAGCATTTCAAGAGGGAGGGCGGGCCCACTCCACTCTCGGCCATACCAGGGCATTTGGGGGCAACAATTAAAAGGATGAGATACACTGTTTAAACTTCCCTATTATAGAACTTCATAGTAGTTATTAAACAGGCTATCTAGATTCTTGTTTGACTGTTTGAAATAGAAATGCGAGATAACATAATTAAGCTAATAAAAGTAGTGATTTGTAGACAAGTTAGAAAAATTACCGTATTGATTGAAAGTACGCTGTTCATAGGACGTCTAAAAAAGCTACATTTTTTAAAATTTGATCATAGAGGGACAAAGTGCAAATTAAACATATTTAGTAACCTTAAGAATTTTTAATTCCCCCTTGCTGTTCATCTTTGCCGATAGTCGACCTTATTTATAGATATCACAGAAACTGATACATATATATGTAGGGTAATCCAAAGCTTGATACTGACTTTAAAGCCAAATCCTAAATTCTTCAATTACTTCTAGACCCGAGCGTCGAATAGTGAGGAAAAGTAATGAAAGCATTGTTACAAGATTAATTTAC